ATATATATAGAGATATAGATAGATCGATCCTCTCTGCTCTGTGTTCACTTCCGTCAGAAAGATGAAATCGGACCATAATGAAGTTTTTTACAGCTTCTGGTTGAAATAAACGGTGTAGTTTTGGCGATTGTTTGAAGAAAATGTGCTTTTCCATTCGGGGTTCAGAGGGTCAAATAGAAAATGTTGTGAAGACGTGTTTGTTCTTCCAGGACCTGAAGTTTCCTCCTCGGGGGATGGAGGGCCAGACCAACCCGGCCTCCTGGCCCTGGTTCCAGCTGATGAACGACGCTCTGGAGGGACGTCTGGCGGGGAAAGCTCCCCGAGTGGCGCCCGTGTGGAGCAGCGAGGAGGACGGCGTCTTCGTGTCGTCTCCTCCCCCTGACAGAGACTGTCTGATGACGGAGAGGAGCGGCGTGTCGGAGCTGGAGAACACGGTGGGCGTCGACGCCGCCGAGTCGGACGGGAACGTGACCTACATCGACGCCAGTGGAGAGGAGTGTTCCACGCCCTCGGACCTGTCCTATAAAAGTGAGAGGACTTCTTTATCAGTGTGAATGAGTCGTGACAGGAAGGTTTTATCGTGTTTTATTCTTCTTTACATTGATATAGATTATAGATTACTTTACCTCTTTTCACTAACAGCTTGTGTTTTAGTTTGTGTCTCTGGTTTTGGTAATCAGCGTTAGTTCATCTGTACTGTCAGAGGTTGTGAAAATGAATATTAGTCAATCGACCGAAGATTATCCACTTTTTTCAGTTCAGATTCTGTCAGCAGATTTGTAAATTTGCTGACACATTATTAAATAAAAAGAGCTCTTTTTGCATAAAATGTCTATTTTGCATTCAAATGTAAAAGTGTTCCAACGCAGTTTATTGAACTGTAGATATTTCAAAACAAGACATCTGAAGACATCACGTTGTTTTAAACCAAAAGATTAATCCCCAAAAAGAATTGGCCGATTATTCAATAGTATGAAATCATTGTTGGTTGCAGCTCTAAGCACAGACCACCAGTGTGTATTGCTCTTAGTTAAAGTAGTGTCTTTATGAAATAAAGGTGAATTGAAGGCTCACATTTAGCAGCCGTCTGCTGTCCGTCTCCCACAGTGACGGACCAGGACACCAGGAGGATGATCCAACTCAGAGCTGCTAACGAGGCTCTGTTCACCGGGAGGAGGAACGCTGCCAAAGCTGCCTGGAAGTAAGACGCTGTCTTTGATATGATAGAGCAACACTGCAAATACAGTCGGCAGACAGCCCGTGGGTGCAGGCAGACAGCCCGTGGGTGCAGGCAGACAGCCCGTGGGTGCAGGCAGACAGCCCGTGGGTGCAGACAGACAGCCTGTGTCTATATTCCGTCTCTCAGAGCCATCCTGAAGGAGCTCGGGCTGCAGGGGAAAGTCTCCACCTACCAGATGGCAAAGAAATGGGACAATCTGAAGAGGAGATACAAGGTTTGTTCATTAAACAACAACATGTTGGTCCGTCCCTCAATGCAGTCTGACTTCCTGTCTGTGTCTCATTGGTTCCTACTGTAGTTTCATCAGTAAAACAGCTGCTCACTGTAGTTTTTATAGACTTTGTTTGGGACTATTTTCAGCGGCGGATTAATCCACATGTAGTGCTCTAGTGAGTATTTGTGAAAGCTCTTCCTTTTTTATGTTTCCTCTGTCTTCTCCTCCCCTTTCTCTCTCCTCTTCCCCTCTTTCCTCCTCCTTCTCTCTTTCCAACTCATCTCTATCTTCACCTCTCCTCTCTCTTTCTTTCCCTCTTCTCTTGCTCCTTATCCTCATCCTGCTCCTATTCCACCCTCTCTCGGTCCTCCTCTGTAGGACCTGAAGTATCCTCCTGTTGGTATGGAGAACGTAGCAGACAGCACCTCCTCCTGGCCGTGGTTCCAGCTGATGAATGAAGCGATGGAGGGCCGCCTGACGGCCAGCGCCCCCCTCCTTGCCCCTGTCATCCATGATGACGACCACCCCTCCCCCGCCCCCAGACACAGGTCCCACCCTCCCCCTCCTCCCCCCACCTCCTCCTCAGACTACGTACAGGAGGCGTTCGGCGACTCCGGCGGCAGCGAGCAGAACCAGCGTGACTCTGAGGTGTGCGAGGGCCCACTGGGAGGACTGGAGAGGGAGTGGGAGGTGGTGGAGAGAGACCGAGCGGCGGTGGAGAGAGAGAGGGAGATGGTGGAGAGAGACCGAGCGGCGGTGGAGAGAGAGAGGGCGGCGGTGCAGGCGGAGCGGCTGTGGTTAGAGAGGGAGAGGGCGGCGGTGGAGAGAGACCGAGCCATGGTGGAGCAGGAGAGGGCCTCGCTGGGCCGGGACCGGGAGGTGCTGGACCAGAGAGCCCTGATGCTGAACTCTGTGGGTCACTCCGGACACCTCAACGCCCTCATGTAGACCCGCGTGGACCGTCCTCCCGTACAGACATCCTGGTCCGTGGTGGACTACGGGACTACAGAGGAGGAGGTGTGGACCTGGACGTGGTCTGTCTCCATACAGAGCTGGTCCTGGTTTTCAACAGGAGAGCTGCACAGTGAACTGAAGACCTGGTCCTGGTTTAAGGTAGGATGTGGACTTGTTGTCTTTTAACAATCTGGATGCAGATCCCTTAGTTTCTTTAAAGTGGAACCTCTTTACAGCTGAACTATCAACACACGGATACGGACGGATCTGAACTAATATCGCTGGCTGACTACTCGGTCCGGTTCTAGTCTGGACCTCCTGAGCTCCTCACGTAGACGTGGTTTTAATCAGAGGAGGTTTGAGTAGCTCCTCCCACTCCAGGTTGGTGTTGGCAGGGCTCCTTCTGAGGCGGAGGAGGCGGAGCTTGTTCATCCTGAACTTTAGTATTTCACACGTTCATGACAAAAGACCGAAAAAAATCCACCACCCTACGTAGACTGACCTGGGGGCGTAGACCACCACCATACGTAGACTAAGCTGGGACATTGAGCACCACCGTACGTAGACTAAGCTGGGACATTGAGCACCACCATACGTAGACTAAGCTGGGACATTGAGCACCACCGTACGTAGACTAAACTGGGACATTGAGCACCACCGTACGTAGACTAAGCTGGGACATTGAGCACCACCGTACGTAGACTAAGCTGGGACATTGAGCACCACCGTACGTAGACTAAGCTGGGACATTGAGCACCACCGTACGTAGATTAAACTGGGACATTGAGCACCACCGTACGGAGACTAAACTGGGACATTGAGCACCACCGTACGTAGACTAAGCTGGGGCATAGACCACTTTGGACGTGGAGCCTAAACAAAGGAGGAGGAACCAGATCATAAACAAACTCTGATGTGCATTCAAGTGTTTCTTTTTGGGCTCCTCCCAGTTTTTTGTATTTATTTACAAGAAGTTCTTTTTCTATTGTTTTTATTTAAGAGGTGACGGCAGACCGAGCTTCGTTTGGTCCTCTCGTGATGTCACTTCCTGCTCTTCTGAATGTTGGACAGATAAAGAATTTCCGTCTGAGATTTTAAATTTTTCCTCCAAACAAAGACTGAAGTGAACTTTTCTCTTTCTCTCGTTTGTACGACATGAGATTAAAACGTTTCATTATCAATGTTTGTCTCTGTTGGTGTTGTGTTTGCTTTATTTTGATATTTCCTCCACTTTCATACTTTGGCCCTAATGGTGCGTTCAGGTGCTCCTCTGATGTGGTTCTCCTGACTTCGGTGTGTTCATGAGCTTTAAGTCTTCAGGTGGAAACAACATGGACGCTACAGAGAACAACACGCTTATAGATGTTTCCTCTATTTAAATAAACTATTAATAATTGTTAATAAGTCAAATGTTGCCTTATCTGAGTTTTTATCAGGGTTATCAATCCTCTAAATGCTGAGGAAAGGTGGTTTGATGCTTCCTTCCTTATCTCCTTTAGCATAGGAAACACTGGACCTTCCTTTACCAAAGGAAAGTAGATAATGCCGACCCACAATTCCTTGTGGTGGCAAAATTTAAAGTGACGCACCATGAAAACAAACGATATGTTTATCTCACACAGGTTTAACAATCGTACTCATACAGACATGAAGTAAAGGGATTCATGTTGATCAACAATAATAAACATTAACAATCATTTAGTTTCATTTTATTTCCAGTCGTTTTTAGCAGAAATGCCCCAAATTCCTCCGTTTGATTCTCAGTCGTGAAGATTCGCTGTTTCTCTTCAAGTGTTTCATTTTGTCAAACTAAATGATTCAGTTTATTTAAATATAAAAGGAGATTTGTCATTTGTGTTTCACATAAACGAGGCTGATTGATTTCTGATCGTTGAAAAGTTGAGGGTAAAGATGTGAACTTTGTGTGAAGATTATTTAACAATGAACTCAACTTATTTAAGAGCGAGACAGACAACCAGAAGTCTGCTTTTAAACACAAACCCTAATTGGTGGAAGTTCTCTCCTCATGTTTGATTTTTGAGGCTTCAGCACAGCAGAAAGCTCCAGAAAACAAACGAAGAATCAAAACATTTTTGCACAATAAGTGTGACAGAAAAGCTAAACTCTGAATGTGTCTGAAACATAAAGAACAGTGTTGAGTCTGCAGACCAAAGGCCATCTGTTTGTCTGTAAATGTATTTTCTAAAGGAGTGTCTGATGTCGTAGCTTCCAGTAAATGAACCAGAACTCACATTAATGTGATGGTTAAATGACAAAGTGTGGATCTGCATCAATGCATCAGATATTCACACTGAAATGAAATGAGATCTACTACTGCTGGTTCAGATCAATAAGCTGTTGTAAAGTAAAGCTGTATTACATAAATGTAAAGGTCCAGTAGTCACCGGGAGGAGTGTGATGAGATGGTAATGAAGCTGAGGGCAGAATTTCAATGAAACACTGACGATAATCTCTCTAAAAGTCACATGATTTTTTCAGCTGCTGCTGCAGTTTGTTTTTCCAAGTGTGTTTGAGTTTCAGCTCAGCAACAAAAGATGTAGTTGTTTTGAGTCTCTTTGTGGTTGTTTTGAGTCTCTTTGTGGTTGTTTTGCGTCTC